GTTGTACGTATTTCTCATGTCAGTGGTTTTCATCTCTTTCATTCGTTTAGACCTTCTCTGCATTAATTACTCTAGCCATCATTCTTCCACTGTTTTTTCAAGATTTTTAGTTTCTTTGCGCTGGGTACGTAATTCCTCCGTTAGCTCTGAGAAGTTTGATGGACTGAAGCCTTCTTCTCTCATCTGGTCAAAGTCATTCTCCATCAAGGCTTGTGATCCGTTGCTGGCGCATGAGCTGGCGCTCCTTTGCCGGGGAGATCGCGCTCTTATTTTTTGAATTTTCCAGCTTTTCTGCCCTGCTTTTTCCCTCTTTGTGGTTTATCTGCCGCTCTGGTCTTTGATGATGATGGTGAGTGTACTGATGGGGTTTTGGTGTAGGTGTCCTTCTGTGTCTGATATTTTCCTTCTAACAGTCAGGACCCTCAGCTGTAGTCTGTTGGAGATTGCTTGAGGTCCACTCCAGACCTGTTTGCTGGGGTGCAGCAGCAGAAGCTCAGTTGGAAAAGTGCAGAAATCGACCGGTCTTCCTTGTCGCTTGCGCATGGGATTTGCTGGGAGTTGGAGACTGGAGCTGTTCCTATTCGGCCATCTTGCTCCGCCCTTGTTTAACTTTTTAAAATGTGACTTCTAGAAAATTCAAATTGCGTATGTAGCTAACACATTTCTATTGGACAGCATTGTTCTAGGGAATCAGTGAGAAATAAACAAAAGTAGGTCATGTTTAGATGCTATATGTAATGATTCTGGTTGAATGTCATTCACTGATCCTCTTATGTATTCCATACCATTTCACATTCCACATGTATTTAGATAGCAGTGAACTTCCATACCAATTACAGCATACTCTTATTTTTTCTGTGTCAGTTGATCAGTATCCACACTTGAGTATAGTTTTCATAATGGTACTTATGTTCCTGTTTCTAATATTATACTACATGTATCAATAAAAAACGCTGAAGATTCAGGAGGTTTGTCTTAATGTATGATCTATAACAAATCAGCTGTGATTGTATAGTATTCTCAGAAATCTATTTTCTCCTTCTCAGTTCTCAGTGTCTCCTCTAGAAGGCGCTTTCAGTCTTCCAACCACAGCTTGGGAGGCTGTTCCAGTCTTGCTGACTTTTAGTGAGAAGAAAACAGTTTCCAGCGAAGGTACTATCTAAAAATGTCTCCTTTGTGTAGAAGTCATTGGTTTGCCATCAAACAATTCTTGTTGCGTCATCAAACATCTCTTGACTGTAACAGCTTGCAATTTTGCTGTTTAATTATTTATATAACATAAGTAGACAATCTTTTTATGTAGTATCTGATTGCCTTCTCAGAGAAACACTATAAAGTTTTGACTTTAGCCCCAATTTTCTAGAAGACAGATCTGAGACTCAGAAAAGCTAATGGCTTGCCTATAGTCACACAATTAGACTTCTGATTCCTAGCCAATGCTTTTGACTCTATTCCCTGCCTCCACTGTTGCCCTGGTAGGGAAGTAATTTATATCTGAAAATTACATGGAAAAGCCAAACTGTGGAAATTGAGTTGTACAGGCCACACCCTGCAATCTGTTCTACATTTGTTTCAAAGCACCAAATATTTGACTTCTGTGGAAATGGTGCCAAGGTAAATTAGGTGGAACCGGAAACAGGAACTTGCGTATATGTCTGTATATTAGTAGCAATTTGAGATGTTTGAGTTTCTTTCTTTGTACAATAGAAATTGGAATAATATTTGCCAGGACTAGACAAATAGTACATGCTGATAGACCTTATATTATGGATGACTCATTCCCAATAGATCATAGCCTTTGACATGACTTTTTAGTTGTTGGGAGAGATTTTTCCCTACTAACCATGCCCAACACAAACTTCTGTTCTTACTGGCTTTCAGAACAAGATACTTGCATAAATTCCCCTGCAGTTATATGCTCCCTTTACTTAAAATCTGATAGCTTTCTGTATTTTATTCTATTAAATCTAAATTCTCATGCTGATTTTCAAGGGCTCTCAATAATCTGACCCATCCTAGCTGCCCAAACTTTTGTTTTTTCTTTCTTTTCTTTTTTTTTTTTTTTTCTGATGGAGCCTCACTCTGTCACCCAGGCTGGAATGCAGTGGCGTGATCTCAGCTCACTGTAACCTCTGTCTCCTGGGTTCAAGCGATTCTCCTGCCTCAGCCACCACTTGGGCTAATGTTTTGTATTTTTGGTGGAGACTAGGTTTCACCATGTTGGCCAGGCTGGTCTCAAACTCCTGATCTCAAGTGATCCACCCACCTCGGCCTCCCAAAGTGTTGGGATTCCAGGCTTGAGTCACCGCACCCAGCCTGTCTCCCACTTGTCTAATAGAACTCTTTCACTCTAGTAAGTTTAGGTCTCCGTACTGTCCTTTAAACAAATTGCTTTCTGCTACTGCTGTGTCTTTTCCTATCTTGTTTTCTTCATTTGCCCTATCCTCTCTGTTTAGAATCTAAATTCTATGTATTCACTAAGGCTCAGTTCAAATTCCACCACCATCACTTACTTTCCTCCTTCTTTTAACTCATTAGTGCTTAGAATTTGTAGTAAAACACATTTGAGCACTTATTGTGTGGCAGGACAGGGTTCTTTGTATGCCCCACCCCCTTATTCTTACTGAGAGAAGTAACTGGTATCAGCAAGAGAGGCTTGTTTATCTTTTAGGAGTTGCCACTCTGAAGAATATGGATGAGGATTCAGAGTCATCCTCCACCCTCGGGGATGGAGCCAAATTTAGGGCTCCTTGGGCACAGGCATAAAGGTGGACCCATCTTCTAGACACTGGCCAAACACACACAAAAAGTGAGAACTTGCAGAAGAGGGAAGAAAGGAAAGAGACATCATGACGCCCAGCAGGAAATGAGATTTTGCAGGCTGACTTGATAGAATAAAGAAATATATGTTTGTTATCATTTTTCTGACTCACTGTATTGTGACCAATCATAGTGTTTTTATTTTTACTAAGACCTTTACCAGGCTTTACTTGGTTTGTAACTCTTGAGTTACCTTTAAGGATAATTGAATTTTATCTCTTTCTGTCTAACTTACAAATTTTCTCTACATAAGTTTTTTTGACAACTCTACTTCAGTATAAAGGATATTTAATTAAGTATTTTAATTGTACAGTTTTATGAGTTTTGACACATGCATATACACCTGAAGCCATCACCACATTCACGAGGGGGAGGACACCCAAATTTCTTTGTGTCCATCTCTTCCTTATCTTGCCTCCTTGCCCCTTCACCAGGCAGCAACTGATCTGTGTTCTGTCATTATAAATTAGTTTGAATTTTCTAGTATTTTACATAAATGGAATTACATAGTATGTCTTGTTTTTATCTGGTTTATTTCACTCAACCTCCCTGTTGCTAGTATTGATAGTTCCTTATTATTGCCCAGTAGTATTCTAAAATTTATTATCTATTTACTTGATGATGTGCATCTGGGGCTCTTAACTATTACAAATGGAGCTACTATGAACATTTGTGTGTACAAGTCTTAGTGTGGACATATACTTTTATTTCTCTGGAGTAAATACCCAGGGGTGGAAAGACTGGGTTCATATAATAGATGTGGTTTCACTTTTAAAGAAAATGCCAAACTGATTGTACCATTTAAATTCTAGCTGGCAATGTTATGAAATATCAATTGCCCTTATCTTGTCAATCTTTGTTATGATCAGCCTTTCCAATTTTAGCCATTCTAGTGGATGTGTAATAATAATATTGTGGCTTTGATTTGCATTTCACTAATGGCTAATGACGTTGAGTATCTTTTCATGTATATATTTGCCATATGCATGTCTACTTTGAAGAAATGTCTGTTCAAATCTTTTGCCTATTTTCCCCAATTGAATTGTTTTCTTTTCTTTCTTTTCCTTTTTTTGAGATGGAGTCTCGCTCTTTTGCCCGGGCTGGAGTGCAGTGGCATGATCTCGGCTCACTGCAAGCTCCGCCTCCCGGGTTCATGCCATTCTCCTGCCTCAGCCTACCGAGTAGCTAGGACGACAGGCACCCGTCACCACGCCTGGCTAATTTTTTGTATTTTTTAGTAGAGACGGGGTGTCACCATGTTAGCCAGGATGGTCTCGATCTCCTGACCTCGTGATCCATCCACCTTGGCCTCCCAAAGCACTGGGATTACAGGCATGAGCCACCACACCCTGCCTGGATTGTTTTCTTATTGATAAGTTGTAAAAATTATTTATATGCTCTAAATACAATTCCTTTTTTGAGTAGATGTTTTGTAAATACTTTCTCCTAGTCTGTGACTTAGCTTTCTATTTTCATAACAGTGAATGTAGAGAGCACAAAAGTTTTTTTTTGTTGTTTCAGACAGGGTCTCCTTCTGTTTCCCAGGCTGGAGTGCAGTGGCACAACCATGGCTCACTGCAGCCTCAACCTCCCAGGCCCTAGTGATCCTCCTACCTCAGCCTCCTGAGTAGCTGGGAGCACAGGTATGTGCCACCATGCCTAGCTAACTTTTTAAATTTGGAGGGAAGAGTTGGGGGGTGGGGTCCCTCTGTGTTTCCAGGACTGATCTCAAACTCCTGGGCTCAAACGAGCCTCCTGTCTTGGCCTCCCAAAGAGTGAGATTACAGGTATGAGCCACCATGCCCAGCCAAAAGTGTTTAGTTTTATTAAGCCCAATAGATTAATTTACTTCTTTTAGAGATCGTGGTTGTGTGTGTATTTAAAAATCTTTGCCTATGTTTTATTCTAGAAGTTTTATAGCTTTAGTTCTGACATTTAGGTCTATGATCTATTTTGAGTTAATTTTGTATATGGTATGTGGCAAGGATTGAAGTTATTTATTTATTTTTTAGTTATGGCTATGCAGTTGTTTCAGCACCATTTATTAGAAAGATTACCTTTCTCCAATTGAATTCTCTTGCCATGTTTGTTGAAAATCAGTTGTCTATATATGTGTGTGTCAATTTTTAGACCCTCAGTTCTGTTCCATTGACCTGTATGTCTGTGTTTACACCAATACCACATTGTTGTAATTAATACAACTTAATAATAAATCTTGGTAAAGGCAATGTAACTCCTCCAACTTTGTTGTTCTTTTCAAAGATGTTTGGGCTATTCCCTGTCCTTATTATATGATTTCCATATAAATCTTAAAATTAGCTTGTCAGTTTCTACAAAGAAGCCTTCTGAATTTTGATTGGGCTTGTATTAAGTCCATCAAGTAATTAGGGGAAAATGGACATCATTACACATTTAAGTCTTCCAATCTGTGAAGATAGCATAGCTTTCCATTTAATTATTCTTTACTTTTTATCAGCAATGATTTGTATTCTTCAGTGCTCAGTTTTTTCACATCTGTTGTCAGATCATATTGATCTTTTATTCTGCAACTTTACTAAACTCACTTTTTAATTTAGTGGCTTTATTTTAGATTCTTTAGGATATTCTATAGTGCCAATCATTTTGTCTGCAAATTTTACTTCTTTCTTTCCAATTCGTAAGCATTTTATGTTTTTCTTGCCATATTTCACTGGCTAGAACCTCTATTACATTGTTAAGTAGAAGTGGTAAAAGCAGACCTCTGTGACTTTTTCCTTCTTTGAGGGAAAGTTTTCTATCAATCACCAACATGACTGACACCAGCAGTAGATTTTTTGTAAAAGCCCTTTATCAATTTGGGAAAGTTTCCTTCTATTCTCAGTGTGCTGAGAGTTTTTTGTTTTTGTTTATGTTTTTGCTTTTGTTTTTGTTTTGAGACAGAGTTTTGTTCTGTGGCCCAGGCTGGAGTGCAGTGACATGATCACAGCTAACTGCAACTTCTGCCTCCAGGTTCAAGCAATTCTCGTGCCTCAGCCTTATAAGCTGCTGGGACTACAGGCATGCTCCACCATGCTTAGCAATTTTTTATTATTTTAGTAGAGTCGGGGTTTCGCTGCGTTGGCCAGGCTGCTCTCAAACTCCTGACCTCAAGCGTTCCACCTGCCTCGGCCTCCCAAGGTGCCGGGATTATAAGTGTGAGCCACGGCACTTAGCCAAGTTTTTATTAGGAATAAATGTGGGGGCCGGGTGCTATGGCTCACACCTGTAATCCCAGCACTTTGGGAGACTGAGGCAGGCAGATCACCTGAGGTCAGGAGTTCGAGATCAGCCTGGCCAACATGGTGAAAC